TCTCTCTCTCTCTCTCTCTCTCTCTCTCTCTCTCTCTCTCTCTCTCCTTCTCTCTCTCTCTCTCTCTCTCTCTCCCACAGAGAGAAGTCAGAGTGGTGGTTGACATTTATAGAAACATACCGTCCGGGTACAGCAGCCTGCAGAGCTCTGCAGAGACGCAGAAGTGTCCGGCGTCTCTGAACCAGGACACCGCCTGCCACGCCTCCTTCAGCAGCTGGCCATCATCGTCCAATAAGGAGCTGAGCACGGCCCAGGTCAGGTGGAGGGATGAGTACAGCTGAAGCTGAGACAGTGAGACAGATTACTTTAGACGCTGGATTAACCCTCAGACATCAGTTTAATTTACGACCCTCTGAAGTCACTAAGGACAAAAATGTCCACTTCCAAAAAACTGGTATAAAAAAAGAACAGATTGATATTTTTTTCTACTTATCTCTGCATAAATCTCTTAAACAACTTCAGTCCTGCTCAACACTACCAAACACTAAATCATCTTTAGGAATTTAACCCTTTAAATGCCAGTCTGATTATATGATTCTGGCATTTAAAGGGTTAAATTCATGATAATTATTCAATATTTGATAGTTTTGAGCAGGGCTCTGTTCTGTCTGTTCTATTTTTATAGCACTTTTTGTAAATTGGACATTTCTGCCCTCCAGTGTCCAAACAGGGAACTACATTTTAAATCTGATGCTACACAAAAACTAACAATACATCAAAGTCAATATTTTGGATAATCTTTGACCAAGACTGATTTAAAAAAAAAACCCCAGCCACCAAATATTTGTTTTATGGAAAATAACTCTTTTTTTTTTTTTTTTTCTTCCATAAATAACAACAGTAACATCAAGTAATCAAACTGTCATTTAAAGGGTTAAATTCCTCTAAATGATTGAATGGTAGTTTTGAGCAGAGCTGAAGTTGTTTAAGAGATTTATGCAGAAAAAAATATCAATCCTCGTTCTGCCTCGAGGACTCTTATTACCCAGCATGCACCTGGAGGAAACACTGTGTGTACACTCGAGCGAGCGAGGAGGGCGCACCTGTCTCAGAGGAATGTTGGCGGTCGGCGTCGGACTCTCCACAGACTTTAGCTCCTGCAGCAGATAGGTGGCGCTGTGATTTCCTACCGATTCCTGTGAAACCCCAAACTGCTCCTCCCACACGCCTCGCACCCGGTCCTGGATGCTGACGTGAGCCTCGCCCGGCGACGCCCACGTGTTGCTGGAGGCGCAGGATGCCGGAGATCCAGCGGGCGGGTCGGAGAGCGTCGCAGCCAGCAGCTCGGCGACACACAGATGGAGCCTGTGGACCTGCAGGAAGAAGACGATGATCAGGTCAAAAGACGATTAAACATCACCTCTCATCTGTTTTTCATAGCTCCGCCCCCTCACTGACCAGCAGCGTCTCCTGAGCGCTCAGAACCTCCTGGGCTCCGACCCAGTCCAGATCAGCAGCCAGGTCTTTGGCACACCTCAGCGCCAGAGACTGAGCCAGAGCGACCTCTCCGGAGATTCTCGCCAAGCTGGCCGCCGTCCTCAGAGAGGAGACGTCGTTCTTTCTGGCGATGACTTTGGCGGCGTCGAAGCTGGCGCCTGCAGCGAGGTAACTAAGAGACAACGTGAGGCGAGGTGAAACATGAAATGTTAGTTCAGCTACAACTGAAGGAGGAGGAGTTAAGTTATGAAAGAGATGGCTACACACGAGATGATTTAAGGCCTGATTTGTCCTCCCAAACAATCAGGGGGCGTGGCCAATTCAAGACTCTTTGTCCAAATAACCTCCAAGCATGTAGTCGAGTCAGCCCCGATCTGGAATCATAAATATCCAACATGTCTGATTTTTATGATTCCTGGTCGGGCCGCCTTGGAGAGACTACACGCACTGCTGGCCAATGAGAGCGAGCAGACCGGGAGGTTTTTCAGCTCGCCATCCTCATGGCGTTTTATTTTCTCACCCATTTGGCAGCCGCAGAGAAATGTCCGTCCTTCTCCAGGACGGCGGCCCAGCAAGTGTAGAGCTCCTTCAGGACGGGCTCGTCCGCCGGCAGCCGGGCTTTGACCAGCGCGATGGCCTCCCTGAGACACCGCAGGGCACAAAGGTCAAAGGTCAGCACCACATTTCAAAATAAAAAGAAATGACATCCTGAATGTTTATATCAAATCCTTCCTATGCATATATTTAGTTTGGTAACGTTTGCCCTGCCACCACTCTCACCAGGAGGAGAGACGGCCCCGCCCCCTCATGGACGCCATTTCTAGGGGGCATAATGACGATTACTGTTGAACAATTGAAGGAGACGTTTCTGTTTGTCCTCAAGAGTCAAACGTTTAACGACTACATCGACTTTGAGATGCACGTTGTCACTTCAAATCAGATGTTTATCAGCGCTCAGACATTCGCTGGTGAAACAGGACGGAAGGGGCGGGGGGAAAGGTGGCGGCAGGAGGGAAGGGGCGGAGCTGAGGTTAGGCCTTTAACAAAACAAACTATGACGAGTTCTTTTACTCATTAAAAACATAACAAAAGTGAACCTGTAGAGTTTGTGCGAGCGCAGCAGCTCCACGGCCTCGTACAGCTTGTTGATTGACAGCAGGTGCGATGCTGCCTTCAGGTACTGCTCCTGCAGACACAGCTGCTTCACAAAGGCCTCCACCGCCCGGCTCCACGCCTGGAACCCGGCTGGAACGGGAAGAGAACAGGTCAGATGGAGACGGATCATTTTGTGTTTTTTTATAATTGTATTTTCTATATTGTAATATCTTCTAGTTCTGAAAAAAAAGTACGAGGTGTCTGTCAGGAGGAAGTCCAGATGAAGTCTGAATGAGAAACGTCAGGACTTTTTTTAAACGAGTTTTATGCAGGTGTGAAAGCTCCACTACAAAGTATTCAGGACTAATCGGGTTCTTCTGAAGGGTCTGTGGGAACCCCGGCTGAAGATGGCCTCGACAGACCGCTGGTCGTTTACCCATAGGAGCGATGGCGAGCAGGTGGTCGTTCAGCTCTCCTTTCTCTGTGGCGAGCTGCAGCGCCCCCTCCAGGTCGCCGCTCCACAGCCGCAGGTACACCACAGAGTCGTAGTGACCCGCCTCCACGTGATTCTCCTCTGAACGAGGACAAGACAGGAAGTGACATCATCGTTTAAAGAGTGGTCGCTGTGATCAAAGTCATTTAAAGTGTAAACAAACATCACTGAGAAAGTCCTGAACTCACCCTCGGACTCGAACATGCGCCGCAGAGCCGGTCTGTCGGAGAACAGACCCAGATGGATGTGGTCTCCCTGACCTGGAACGCAGCCAGCAGGGGGCGCTAGAAACCACAAAACAGACAAAGTGACCAAGCTTGTTGTTTTGCACATTTACACATCACTTTTCATTTTACAAAGTCGTCCAATCAGGCGTCTCTGCTCATCAACATAGCGGGAGAGTAACTGTGTGTGTATGTCAGCGTGTAAAAAGTCCAGTTAGCATCGTTAGCACCAGCGCTAGTTTGGTTACGTCTGCCATCGCTCTAATTTCATGGAAACTAAAGAGACAGCGTCGCACGAGGAGAAACCGGTGCACAGCGTGACGTCACAAGAACTAAACTCTGTTTTCCCGTCTTCACAGAAACACCTTAAACTGAGTTTCTGAACATCTTCACCCTGTAAGGAGTTTTACTAACGGAGAGTTTACAGTGATTTAAAACGCCGTTTGTGTACGAGAGGTCAGAACTCGTCTATCGCTGCAGCTTCACAGAGATATTTACACCTGTGCGTGCGCTCAACGAGAGGGGAGAGAGTCGATGAGGTCATCTCGATGAGGTCATCTCGATGTCGTCAGCGCCTCCCTCCATTTTTCTTTCTACCTGTATGCATCCGCTCACCTTCGCTGTGTCGGACGGCGGCCAGAGTGACGCAGTCCTGCAGCAGATCGTCTTTGGGCCGATGGTCCATGGAGGTACTGACGGGCAGCATGGAGCGAGGCTTCTTCTTCTTCTGCAAGTTTGAGTCTGGAAAAACTAAACACACAAACCCCGACAGTCAAACTAAAAAAAAAAAATCTGCACCAACAAAGTTTCTGAAATAAATTCAGCTGAAGGTCAAACTTCAATCAATCAAAACTTTATTTATACAGCACCTTTCAGACAAATTAAACTGCAGTTCAAAGTGCTTTACAAGAGTGCAGAAAAGTTATTGACGAAAAAAATAGTTTATAAAATCATTGAGACTAATGCACACCAATAAGAATTAAAAATATTTTTTTTTAAAAATGAAAAAATAAAATATGACACATAAAAGCAATAAGATATGAAAGTTAATAAAACCTGGTTTGTCTTTGCTCCTCGCTGTAACGGGCGCTTTCCTTTGAATCTCCACGTTGGCTGAAACAAAAAAATTCAGAAGATCAGTCGTCTCAACGATCAGTTTTTAATCTGATGCCAGGTGTTGTTTTCTCCTCTGTTACCTGCTGCAGGTACGGGACTGTGAGTGGAGCTGACTTCATCGTCCTCGTCTTCACCGGACAGTTCCTGACCCGCCGCTGCTTTCTGTTCACCTTTAACCGCCTCCCCGTTGGTCTCCAGCGGTGCAGCTCCCCCGCTCCCCAACGTCTTCTTGTTCTTCTTCTTCTGCCTCGGGTTGGCCTTCATCTTCTCCTTCAGCTCAGTGTTCTTCTTCCCTGAGAGGACGAGCAGAGAGAGAGAGAGAGAGAGAGAGAGAGACAGAGAGAGAGACAGAGAGACAGAGAGATAGAGAGAGAGGGAGAGGGAGAGAGAGAGACAGAGAGAGAGAGGGAGAGAGAGAGAGACAGAGAGAGAGACAGAGAGAGAGAGGGAGAGAGAGAGAGAGAGAGACAGAGAGAGAGAGAGAGAGAGAGAGAGTCTCAGTTTCTGTTCTGTCAGCGTCTGGACTGTGTTGTTTTGAGACGTTTGTTTTCTCACCTTTGGGCGGCTTTGTGAACTCCTGTTTGGAGACTCTCCACTCCTGCAGGGTGAAGTCCTTCCCCCCAGTCCAGATCACGTCTGGATCCACCGGAGACCAGTCGACGCTCAGCAGGTAACCATGGTGACCCCGATAATTGGAGAGCGCCGCCTCCTGCAGCACGTCCCACACCTGAACATGAACGTCCAAAAACGTTACTCCAAAACGACCTGAAAGACGTTTTCAAAGATCAGGGAGAATGTGCCACATCATCATCATCAGCGCGCTCACCTGTGCCGTGCCGTCGTACGAGACGGTAACCAGCCGGGCGTCGTGGTGCGGACTCCACGCCATGCCGGTGATCTTAGACGTGTGACCACACAGCCTGCGGTACGGCTCGGTCAGCACCACGGGGCTGTCAGGAGGATTCTCTGTGCAGAGACAAGACAACCACGTCAACAACTAACGACCTGTTGAAGATGTTACTCACAACCCGAGGTGTTCGGACAGACAGAATAATAAAATGTGCGCGAGGTCTCCACCCCACCGACGATGGAGCGCAGGTCGTGCACGTAGACGATGGCGTTGCTGGAGCCGGAGGCCAGCAGGCCGTGCAGCTCGGCGGACGAGGCGTGGTCATGATGCCAGCGCAGCGTGTTGATGATCTTGTGGTGCTGCTGGATGCTGCACAGCAGCTTCAGAGCGGGCGCCTCGTACACGTCGATACACCTGCAGAGAAGAGGGTGTGGTCACATGAGAATACACGCTGACGTTTTCTGTTTCCACTCTGAGGGTCACTGTTGGTTCTGAACCACTTCCTCTCTCAGTCTGGTTTTGGATGTTTCACAGTCAGTCCCACACCCGATCATGATTTCAGAAAGTGACTGAACAGTTGTTCCCCTCCACAGACAGGTCAACCCCTCGGCCGCTCACTCACCCGTCCTCGTTGCCGATGGCGACCACTTTTCCATCTGGCTTCCAGCTGAGGTCGGTGTGTGGAGACAGCTTGTGCTGCAGGGAAGAAGAAGAGCTCACCTTCATCACTGATTCAAATCGTCTCTTTCACATTCACACACTCAAACCCACCCTGAAGCTTCGACCCCGACCACCTGAACGCCTCGTGTTTGATCTCTACCTGCAGCTGTGTGTGTGTGTGTGTGTGTGTGTGTGTGACTGACAGGTGGTTCTCTGTGTGTGATGATCGATTGATGCTCGTCTTCTCCATCAGTTCAGACATTAAAAGATGAGTCGTATTATTTGAATATTGAAGACAGACCGGTCAGATGTGTGTACATGTGATACAGTGACACAGTGAGTATACAGGAAGTTAGCGGCCCAGTAAAGGTAAACATCAGGCCGTCTCACCTTGATGCTGTTGGTGTCTCTGATCAGTTTGTCGATGTCCGTTGCCTCTCCGCTCAGCCTGCTCGGATCGTGCTGCAGGATGACGCCCTCGCCGGCGCAGCTGTACAGGCTGCAGGACGGCTTTCCTCCCGCTGCCCCTGAACGCAACACACACTAAATAAATCTTTTGATTTACAGAGCACATTTAAAAAAACAAACCAGAGCTGCACATAAACTTTAAGCTTTGTTAAACACATCAGCTGCTCCTTTTGTTAGCTTTTGGCGCCATCAGCAGATTGTTGGCATGGCAACAATTAAGTTAACGGCTTGGAAGCAGAGAGTGTCTGATACAGTCATCAAAGCGTCATCCGCCCGACAGCTGGTGAGATTAACTTCCTGCGCCCTGATTCCCCCAACAAGCAGCTGTGGGGGGGGAGCGGCGAGGGTTTCCTCACCTCGTTTCATCACAGAGTCGATTATAAAGCGCCGTGTTCAAATGTTTCTGCTTTTCTTTCTTTTTTTTTCCGCTGACTCGCAGGTTCTTCAGCGCCCTGGCGCCGGTGTTTCTGCTGGGTCAGAGCGTTCAGAGCAAACAGCAGCCGTTACCTTAAAGTTCATTAGGAACTTACCAAATGACATCGGGGGGACGGGGGGGCCCCAGGCCAGCGTGTACACCGTTTTCCGGTGATAGGAGCTCGATATCTGAGGAGGCCTGGGAGGAAGCAGAACAAAGGAACTGAGTCAGGACAAGATGAAGTGGAGATGACTGCAGGAGGATTCATCCCGGGCAGACTACAACAGGGTCTGAATACCCGGACCCTCAGGAGAGTCTCAGTGTTAGATTTAAATCATGCTTACAGTCACAAGATCGTGCATTGTTAGGCGTGCAGTGATTTTTATTTTTAAGGAGGACTCTGTAAACCAAGTGCAAGAGATTTCATCTGCATTTAACGTCAACATTTTTTCCAGTTTTGCTTTAGTCGTTTACATCAAACTGTTCAGTTTTGACTGTTTTCTTACTTTTAAAGGTCACATATTTAAAACGCTGACATGTGTCTCTAGTCCGTCTACAAACCCCCAATGATGAGAAAAGTCCATCCTCTCTGTCTTCTTTCTGCTCCACTTTTCAGAAAATGTGTGCTCAAACAGGCCGTTTGGAGATTTTCCCTTCATGACATCACAAAGGGCAGTAGCCCCTCCCCAGGTGGGTGACACTCCCACAGCTAGGTGTTTGTTCTGCCCTCTGAGTCTGCCTTCTCACCGTAAACAATAGGACATGGAGCGAGAAAGACCGAGTACATCCAAGCCCTTCCAGAGAGGGGGCGTGGTCAGACACAGCTCATTTACATATTTAAAGGTACAGACACAGAAACAGCCTATTCTGAGCAGGGCTGAAATAGAGGGGTTTATAGACATGATCAAATACAGGATCAGAGTGGATTTAGAACACGAAACTTCACACACATGTTTTGAGGAGCTCTGAGAGGATATGTCACCTTTAAGGACTTCTTTTTTAGAGAGGGGCTTTAAAATGTGTAACAGCTTTATGGTTTGTAGTCAACTCGTCTGTTTGATCGGCCGGATGTAAGACAGGTGAAAATAAAGAAGATCAAAATCGTACTTGTTGGAGAAGACGTCATAAATCCCGACTTTTCCATCGTCTGTTCCAAAAGAGAGAGATCCTTCTTTCTGAGGGTGCCACGCCAGCTGCAGAGAAGAGAAGACGTTTCTTAAAACACTTCATCTCATCTTCTGAGATTCTTCTTCTGCGTCATCAGAGGAATAATAGCTGCTGTTAGAGATCACAACGATCTGACCACAAACTCTCTAAGAGGGACGAAGGGACGCAGATTTACAGATTTATGTCGTCATCGACCTCGACCTCTGACCTTTGAGGGACTCTAGTGAAAACTGTAAGGTTGTTAGATCACAGCTGTAACTCTGTGAGTTTAAAGATGTGTGTGTGATGTCATCAGCAGCTCAGAGGAGGATTTTATTTTAAAACATTTAGATGACATTCAAAAATTCAAACTGGATGAACCTAAAATCCTCTTACCGCTGTCACTTTGGATTTGATGCCCTGCCAGAAGGACCGGGTGTCATACTGGTTCTGGGTGGTCAGCGTGTTCCACACCCGGATCATGTTGTCCCCGACGCCGAGCGCCAGGCACCCCGTGCCCACGGGGGAGAAGGTGAGGGCGTAGACAAAACCGCCCAGGGTGGGCAGAGTCCAGAGACAGTCCAGAGAGGTCAGGTCCCAGCATTTAATCTGGAACAGAAGCAGGACGAGTGAGGGGGTTAACAAGACTCTGCTGCTGCTGATTCCACGCTGATATGACCACGATGAAAGGTGCCTCACCTCGCGGTCCATGGAGGTGCTGACGAGCAGCTCTCTGTCGTCCTGCAGACGCACCGAGCTCATGTTGAACACGATCCGGTTGTGATTCTGACCCTCTGAAGACGTCCCGAACAGAGTCCACCTCTGCTTCCCCGCTCGAGTCAAGTCCCACATCACCAGCTCGCCACTGGACGCACACACACGCACGCGCACACACACACGCACACGCACACGCACACGCACACGCACACGCACACGCACACGCACACTTCAGTACTTTAACCTTTACAAAGAAATATCTGCTTGTACATTTTGGTTTCTTCTTTTCTTTGAACACAGTTTGTCTTGATTTATTTTATTTTAACGCGTCTGCTTGTAAAGGAAACACTGTGGCTGCTGTGTTTCCACGGCAACGGTGAACACAACGTTTCTGTCATGGCGGCTAACGCGACATGTTACATGTTACAACTCTAAGATGGCGGATTTCTCTGGCTGTTTGAGGTTATGCAAGAACTCAACTAAAAAATATATATATAACAGCGGGTTATCCCATTTTTTATTAATTTAGGTAATTTAGTGTAAACATTCCTTAAACCTTTAAAAATATAACTGAATATAAACTCAATCGTTTAGATTTTATAAAAATAACTCTCCATGACCACGTGGTCAGGCCTCTCGTGTACCTGAAGCAGCTGGACACCAGCTGGGCGGCTCGTCCTTTCGGCCAGTGGACGTGGAGCCACAGTCGCTCTTTGACCCCGGGGTCGACGGCGAGCCTCTTTTCTTCATGAATGGCAGCTTCAGAGTCATCACAGCTGCAGGGGGGGGGGGGTTACATATTGCTCCTTTAATAGTCGCCTAAGATACTTTGAGAAGGCGTTTTTCAGTTTAATAATTAAAGTAACAGGAAGTCTAAAGTCCGACCTCCTCTGACTCACCTTTTCCCCTCGTCGAGCTCCAGACCCTCACAGTCTGGTCTTTGCTCCCCGAGGCGAGGTAGCACCCTTTCCCGTCTCCCGCAGACACTCCAATGCCGCCGCCGTCACCGTCCTCAGATCGACAGTAGAGGGCGTCCTCGCCAAGTACAGACGACCAGGCGAGCGAGTGGATCTCGTCGTCGTGTCCGCGCAGACGATGCATCACCTCGCCTTTCCTGCTCACGTCGATCAGCACGATCATCCCGTCTTTGTACCTTGGAAAACAAAAAAAAGACGATGACAGATAAATTCATCCTTTCTCTGGAACTGAGACGTTTTGATCTTCTTCCACCGTCGACGACACCAGAAACACGGCTCCACGTTTTAATTCTGAAATTCCTGAAGTGAAATTAAAGATTTCCTCATGAGAGCTCCAGAGATGAGTCTGGATTTAAAGTCTTACTGCAGACAAATATAAAGAAAGAGTGTTTGTAATGATGCCAGTTTGTGTCTGAGTATATTTTTGATCGATTGAGGTTTTTTCAGGCTTCAGAGACAAAAATGACCTACGTACAAACATTAAAGGTGACATATTATTCAAAATGTTCCTCTAACTCTAATATGTGTCTCTAGTCCGTCTACAAACCCCCCAATCATGAGAAAAGTCCATCCTCTCTGTCTTCTTCCTGCTCCACTTTTCAGAAAATGTGTGCTCAAACAGGCTGTTTGGAGATTTTCCCTTCATGACATCACAAAGGGCAGTAGCCCCTCCCCCAGGTGGGTGACACTCCCACAGCTAGGTGTTTGTTCTGCCCTCTGAGTCTGCCTTCTCACCGTAAACAATAGGACATGGAGCGAGAAAGACCGAGTACACCCGAGCCCTTCCAGAGAGGGGGCGTGGTCAGACACCGCTCATTTACATATTTAAAGGTACAGACACAGAAACAGCCTGTTCTGAGCAGGGCTGAAATAGAGGGGTTTATAGACATGATCAAATACAGCATCAGAGTGGATTTAGAACAAGAAACTTCACACACATGTTTTGAGGAGCTCTGAGACTTATTTAAACTGAAGAAGAGGAGGAGAATATGTCACCTTTAAGGACTTCTTCTTTTCTATAGAGGGTCTTTAAAATGTGCAGAAGAGTAACAGCTAAATCCGCCAAGAGTTTCCATAAACTATCTTTATAAAGTTACACAGAGAGGTGAGATTGACTCTGTGTTTGATTAACAGATGACATCATTTATATAATTAATTAACATGGATGCAATTGAAGGAGGTCATTTTAGATTTGAATCTCTGGATGCAGCGGAGCGACTCTGAGCGACCTCTCTGTGACCTCCGTCTTACCCCACAGCCACGCAGCTCCAGGTGTGCGGGGAGCAGCTCAGGCAGAAGATGGTCCGGGGCTCGGGGAAGAAGCTGCTGGTGTCTCCCGTGTTGTACCAGTGACACACCACGATGCCCTTCTCATCACCGGACACCACCAGGTTTTTATCCAGTGGAGACCAGTGCAGCGCTGTGACGGACGTCTGCCACAGGAGGAGAGAATTATTAGACAAATGTCTTACTTTATCCGCTGAACATTTCACCAAATAAGAACACAGTGAATCATTATTTCATCTTCATTTTTTAACATTTATTCACAGAGATTCAGATCCATTCAATGCCTCAATCTGTCCTCAGTGATGGACATCCCACCGCCTGTCAGTCAGTCTGTGTGTGTGTGTGTGAGGCTTCATTTTTCAGATTAAACAGAAAACAAATGATCCCTGAAGGCATAATTTCAAGCAAATCGCTGGAGATAAATAAGCAATGCCCTCTGTAACCCTGACAACTGTTTCAAAAAACACCCTCAGGAGATTCTGTGCCGTTTGTCCTCTGCACATCCTGTCCAGCGTGGATGATAAATTCACTCTCTCCGGGACCCCGTTTGTCAGCTGCTCACAGAAATGTGGAGCTGCAGAGTGCGACAGCGCGGTCTGATTTATTCACTTATTGATCTTGCATCCTCACGTCTGAACATCTGAAGACAAAAACGAGCTTCAGCTCCACAAATGAGAGAGCTGCATCCTCATTACCTCTGAAGATGGTGCAGCGCCTACTGCAGCCTGCAGGGGGCACCAGCGTGTTGTAAACCCCTCACTGTTTATATTGCAATGACGCAACAGAAAAGAAGAAATTCAACACTCACCTGATGAGCTGCATCCTCTCTTATGAGCACCTTGTCGTCTGAGTCCCAGAAGCGGACGGAGCCATCGGTGGAGGAGCTGACACAGATGTGACTCTGCCCGACGTGCTGACAGAAAGAAAAGCCCGACACCAAGTCTTTATGACCAACAAGCTCACCTGTGAAACACAAAGCAGAACATCACTGTCCTATCATACAGAAGAGAGAGGAGCAAGACAAGAACCCTCCAAAACTGATGAACAAGCTAGTGATGTTTCTGCTCTACAGAAAATGCAGGACGATGAGTCGGCATATGAGCTGCATAGATGAGTAAATAAAGGTCCAATCAGTGAGCTGTGTAGAGAGTGAGATGATAAAGGTATCTTACTATCTGATCATTAAGGAAACATGCTATGTTGAAGTGCTGGCTTCTCTGACAACAATGCAGCAGCCAGTATGTCCTCCTTCTAACTTTACATTCTGCTCCTGAATGCTCTGGATTTGTTTGGACCAGAGAAGGTAGGCGGTTTCAAGGTGACCCCCCACACGCCCTTTTTTGGACGCCCCTCAGTTTGTCAGATATGAGAGCAGTTATCAGGTCAACAGGTGTTGCAGCGATGGAAGCGGTCAAGAGA